CTGGAATTCAGTGTGCATGCTTTTTTTCAGCAGATGTGTTAAAAGTATGTAATTATGCCTATGGGTCCCTGGAATTCAGTGTGCATGTTTCTTTAGGTTTGAATTCCATGTAATTCCATATAAAGATCTATGTTTGTCATTGTCACCAACTGAATGTATTTACTGACTGAGTTAAGCATAAATCCATTTTACAAATTTCTATTGGTTACTCATAGCAATGATTCTGTGAGGGAGAGGATGTAGATATTCACATACACTGGGACGTGTACATCTCTCAGACTGAGTGAGCAAATGGGTATCTATTTTTGTTGCTTTCTTGCTACTAGCATGACTACCAGTGTACCATAACACTCACCAAAAAGTGTTTGTAGAAACTGTTTTAATGCATTGTTCCCAACCTAACCAAAATAACACAAAATTGTTCAGTTTATGAAATAATTATTTTCTGGTGAATGGTAGAACACACAACCCCAAAGCACTGGCAGCTCAAATATCTAATGAAATATTGTTCATAGATCATGAGACTTTTCAGATGGCAATGGATTACAAGGTGTCTTTGACCTCATTTTAAAGTGCATATATGTCATTATTGAGGTTCTCAACTCATAACACTAAAAATTCCCAAAGACATCACCTTATCACACCATCACCTTGGGAATTAGATTCCAAAACATGTATCCTGGGGTTCCTGGGCATTCAGACCACAGAAACCATTATATGAGTTTATTTGTATATTGAACAGTGTTGTGGATTGCATGAGTCTATGTGTCCACAACAATTTGTATGCTCATATACCATACAAACTTAACAGTTCTTGGAGGATGAAAACTTAATCAAGACTGTACTTTTAGATTTCAGAGAAAATAATGCAAATATAGATATTATGAACTGAATCAAGCCTCTAACTGAAAGCCCTCTAAGCTCCTGGCTCAGTAAGGATTGTGGAGTGAATGAATGTTTGGTGCTGTAGAAAAGGTGACAAGTGGAGAATACAGGAAAGGGAAATGGCTTCATTGAAAAACTAAAATGATGTGCATGTTACATGGCCATATACAAATGTCTTAATATCTTCATATAATGAAGGTTTCATGAAACGCAAATTGACAAATAGCAAAAGTGTCACTCTCCAGAGTATTTTGCTTCTGAATGCTCCCTGCCCATCCAGAGCAGTTGTCTGTCTGTCTCTCTTTTCTCTTCCCCCCACCTTCAAATAAACCGTCTTCTTTCATATTTTAAAGGAGGGGCAGGAGGTGCACTTCCAAATGCACTAAATTCATGTTGTCTCCAAATTCATGTTGATATCCACAATTAAGACTGTGACACCTAGACAGGAAAAAAGTCACAAAATTCTTTCCAATCAATATTCGTGTCAAGGTGGTGGAAATGACTTGCTTTTTGGAGACGTGGCCTGGCAGAGTGTATCTCTTTCCCCGTGTTCCCCTTGCTTTCTGCTTCCTGCCGGTTATGAGATTGGCAGCTTTTTTCCAGAGCAGGCCCTTCCACATGGGTCACGGTCTGAAACCCCTACAAATCGTTAGTCAAAATAAACCCTTCCTTAGTTGTGGGTTTGGGTATTATGTCTCATCAATGAGAAAGGATCTAAGACAGTTTTTCTTAGTGGAATAAGCACTGTGGTAGTGCCTGAGCATGTAGGGTAAGCACCTTGGTAGTAGCTGAGCACGTGGATCAAAAGCCTTTGGACCTGGTTTGCAGGAGGAGTTTGGAAAGGTTTGGAGATGCAGACTAGAGAAGCCCTAGTGCTGTAATCTGAGCTTGAATGGAGCTTCTGGTCAAAGCATAGAAGATTAAAATGCTGACAGCAAATACCAAGCTCCAGAACTTTCAGTTGGGAATAGGAACTGCATTGGAAGTTGATTTTAAGTTATGAGTGTTACATTTTAGTATAAAATTTGTGTACATTTTGCTCATATTCTCAGACTTTGTTGGATACTGAGGTTAAGAGTGCTGAACTAAATTAATCTGATGGAGGAAAGTTCACAGCTGTGCAATGTCCAAGCTGTTCTATGACGGTTGTTGAGAGCCTTTAGCCAGTTCTACACTGACAATCAAAAGGAAATTGCATGCCCGAATAATTTTTAAAGTTTTCACTTTCCCTAGAAAGGAAATTCTTGAAAATTTAGGTGTTATAAACATTTGGCAGATAAGAACTTGGGTGCTGAAAATATTCATGTCAATAAGAAGCCACAGCCAGGCATAGCAGTGCATGCCTGTAATCCTAGCATTTCAGAAGACTGAAGCAACAAAAGGCTTGCCACAAGCACGAGGCCAGCCTGGACTCAGTGAGTTCAAGACCAGCCTGAACTACATAGCAACTACATACACTGCCTCAAAACAAAACAAGCAAAAAAGCAAGCCATGTTCCCACCTCATAAGAGCTTACCCTCAGTGCTGGACATGGAGCCATAGGCTTTAGTGTTTCCTGTGAGTCTTACTTTGTTTCAATCCTTGGATTATTCTCTTTTTTTTAGTGGGAATACTTGTGCTATGCCATTGAATATCAACAGTGTGTAACTTTGTTTTTTAGCTTTATAGGGGCTAACATTTGAGAGTTTACTTTGAGTTTCAGAGGGGACTTGGTTGTGGTATTTTCAGCAGTGTTGCTCCTGGTAAGCCTTTAGAAACTCAAGAGATAAACTAAATTCATTTTGCTGAAAGAGATTTACAGGAGTCCTTTGGGAGCTAATACCTCATGATCTCACAGGCAGAGTTTATAAGAGGTGAGTGAATTATTGCAGCACCTCAGCTGGCTTGGTTTTGTGAGGTCGGCGCTGGTTGGAAGATACAGGTCACCTGATTGTGCGTGAGTTTGCACAGTAGTCTGTGCCCATCTCTAATCACATGCACTTTTATTTTTGCCTTTACCCTTTTTCTCTTTATTCAGTCCAAATTCAATCTGCAGAGCTTGTTTCTCCTATACCTTTACCCCAAACTTTACAAATAAACTTTTATAGTGCTAAAAAATAATAATAATAATAAATAATTCAGGTCAATGGCAGTGTGACTACCATTCCTTTCTTTCCCTGTACACTTTCCTGACCCCCATGGGTTGAGCAGTTTTCCAAATCAGCAGGATTTGCATCATGCCATTTCTGTCTTAGAGCTGATTTTAGACTAAAACAACTACAAATTATGAATCAAATTAAACTCTTATTTCAGCTGTGTCCAGTACTGTATCTCAGCAACAAGAAAGTGACTAAGACAATCAGTGCTTGTTTCTTCACATATTACATTTGTTTGTTAGTTTATGTGTTTTACAACAGGATCTCACTATGCAGTTCTGGCCTTGAACTCACTATGTAGGCCAGGTCAGCCTTGAACTCACAATGATTCTCCTATTTCTGCCTTCTGAGTGCTGGAATTATGGGCATGTACCACCATACCCCGGCCTTCATTTCTTTTGATGTGTGTTTTATTTCTTATATTTCCTTTTAATATTTAGGACAGGGGAGCATGCATTGAACACATGGCCCTATACTTGCCAGGCACCTTTTGATATTTAGAATGTTATCTCTAATTGAAATTACCTAACTATTCATGCATACTTGTCATTATGCCTGCTAAACATTCAGCATACTGTTCTTGTTAGCTTCCTTTAATTCTGTGGTCTGACGATTCCAACATTCTTTCTATGTCTAAATCTTGTTTTGGTGCTTTCTTCTCAAATATTTTACATTCAGAAGTTCTTTACTGCTAAGCTATGTCCCTAGCCCTGTCTATCAATCTGTTTGTCTATGTATCCAGCTCTCTATCTTATAAGGTCTTTCTATATTGTCCAAGCTGAACTTAAACTTGTGTCCCTGATGCTCAGCCTCTTTAAATCTTGGAATTACAGACATGTGCCATCATGCTCACTTTAAACAGTTTTTAAGGGGCTGGGAATTTAGCTCAAGGGGCTGTGGATTTAGCTCAGCAGCATAAGCACCTGCCTTGCAAGCAGATGGTTGTGAGTTCGATCCCGGTGCCGATAAAAATGAAAAAGACAAAAAAAAAAAAAAAAAACATTTTTTAAAGTCTTATAACAAATCTCATAAGTTTTACATTGGCTTTTTAACATGATGTAGTTTCAGTATGGAACTAGAGAACTTTCAGCCTTTCATGTGAGGATTTAGGATTGTTCTGCTAGGTTTAAAGAAAGTTGATTTTGAAGCACATGCAACTGTCAGGATAAATTTCCTTTGATGTCTTTGCTTTAATCTCTCATCATTTACAGACTTTCATAATGATACTTAATATCTGAAAATGTAGAAAGAAGTTGCATAGTGTTCTTTCATTATATTGCATGGTTACGAACTTAAATCTTATTGACATAGTAGTAATTTGAGAAAACATGCTAGATGAGATGACAACTACAAGTATTTCCAGCAACTCATAATGTTTAGGGAGGAGGATCAGTAAGTAGTTTAGGTCCAGTCAGTACAACATAAAAGATCTTGCATCAAGATAAAATTAGAATAAAATACAGGACAAAAGAGCAGGAAGAGATCAAACAAGGACCACCAAAATGAAAGTACCTCTGGGACCCATCTCAAGACAGCCTAGGAAACCAATCAGTTTGTGAAAAGTTCCAAGTACCACCTGGAGGAAGGGCCCCTAAATCTCAATCTGGATACAAAGGGGGACAAGGGCTCAGGGAAATCCATCTTTTTTCAGACCCATTGACCTCTCTCCAGGGCAGCTTGTTTCTGTCATCTGTTTTTTTCCTACTTACAAATACTATAAATCTTCTCTTCTTATACTCGTTTTCAATCCCAGATACCTCCTCACCTCAACAGCAGAGTATCTTGCTTCTGAACAAGATGAAAATTAAAAGCCAAGAAACAACTTACAGACTTGTAGATACTGTGCTATTTTCCCCCTTTGAATTGTTTCTGTGTAATCTACCCAGTAACTGGTGATGATGGGCAGACTGTGGACATCATTGGCTGCTGATCTGCAGCCAGCCAGTCCTAGGCTGAGAACCACTCTTGGGGAATCTTGGGACTTAATGGAGGAGCCGTGAACCGGGTCTGAGGCCCAGGATTTGAATCTCTGTACACTGCAACTGATTAGAGGTGAAGGGACATTCTCACACCTCTTTTGAAGTAGTTTCTGGCGCTCTGTCCGTGGGTGGGTGAGAGAAAACAGCAACAGTCATGAAGTCTTCATGTGATGGTCAGAGAAGAAACTGAGAGGTAAGAAACTGCAGAAGGTTATAAAAGGAGGGGAAATACCGCAGGGCCAGGCGGGTACTGGGTGTGAAAGAAAAATCGGGCTTTTAGACAAAGGAAGCACCTCATACCTGGTTTCACCTGAGTAGAGCAACCTGGATCTAGGTAGGAGGGCAGGTGTGCACACTATCGAGTGACAGCTGAGAAACCAGACTCTGGAGAGAGGGTTAAGTGAGGTGGGCAAAGACTTGCCAACCTGGTGGTGGCCTGTGGCTTTATCTCACCTTTTGATCAGAGCGGGTACCTGAGCCTTAGGCTGAAGGAGTCTGCCCAAGATAGAGTTGACACACTCATGATTTTGACAGTGTCATGAGAAATCTTGACTTCGATGCAAACAGAGATGCAGTCTTTGTGGCTGACTTGTACAACTCTCCCCTACAGGCTTGGTTCCTGCCCACCCTAGTGACTCAATGCTGGATGTTTATGGAGGTCCCCACATCTTTACACTTGAACCAGGCCATCTCCCTGCTCCTCCCACTCCTCAGCCTGCTTGTGCTGGTTGCAGGTAGGGCTGTGAGCCATTTGTTTGGTTCCCACCTAGGAAAGTAACATCAGCTTGCATTCTGCAAAGAGGAAGACCCACAGACCCTAGCCTCTGTGGCAGCTGATTCATTCTGAATGTACTTGCTGAGTTTATACCAGCTCTGTGCAATAGAAATGCACAAGGGCTGCATGGAAAGCTGCACATACCCTTGCAAATTTTCAACATTTAAAAATGTTTTTTAGAAACTAGATGAAGGGCTGGGGATTTAGCTCAGTGGCTTAAGCACCTGTCTGGTGAGCATGAGGTCATGAATTCAATCCTGGGTACCAAAAAAAGCAAAAACTAGACATAAGAAAGTTTAGTAATATATTTTGTTTCACTTTAAATGCTTACTTAATGCAAAATAGTGCAAATGAAATATTTAACATCTAAATCTTCAAAACCCTGTATTTTATATTTACAATTCATTTTATTTGAAACTAGCTGGTGGATACTGGATGAGACAGTTTAAGTCTATCTTCCACGCAGGCACCATGCTAGATCAAGGAATGAAGGAGAAGCTGTGAGAGCACAGAGTGTGCTGAGCTTCTGTCCATAGAGCATTAGCATCCTCCACAGGAAAGGTTTCCAGAATGTTGCCTACAGCTAGGTTCCTGGTCCCCACATCCTCAGTCCAGGAAGTGTCTGCTGCTTGGGAAGAATTTGTCTGTCCCTGGAGTGCCCACTCACTGCCATTTTAGATGTCTCATGTTTGAAGTCCCTGTTTGATTCTCCTTTTGTTGAATAGCTCAGTTCACTGTCATGGGGCCAGCTAGTCCAATCTTGGCCATGCTGGGAGAAAACGTCACATTAACCTGTCATCTGTCACCTGAGAAAAATGCTGAAGACATGGAGGTGCGGTGGTTTCGATCTCAGTTCTCCCCTGCAGTACTTGTGTATAAGGGCAGGAGAGAGAGGACAGAGGAGCAGATGGAGGAGTACCAAGGAAGAATCACCTTTGTGAGCAAAGACATCAGCCAGGGCAGGGTGGCACTGGTTATCCACAATGTCACAGCACGTGAAAATGGCAAGTACTGCTGTTACTTCCAGGAGGGCAGATCCTACGACAAGGCCATCATGCATGTCAGAGTGGCAGGTAAGTCACTTCGTTTTGCTCCACTGCCTCTTCCCAGTGTGACTTTTGGGGAAAGTTTATATCCTAACCTTACGCAATTGTAAACCAGCCAACTTTTGTTGCAATCCTTCTATACAAGGAAGGTAGCTTCCTCTTGCCCAGGGGCTCTATAAGGGGTTTGCTCTGCTAAACTAAGGCATTGCTTCTTGAGAGGCACACAGAACTTAGCTATGGCTTTCAGCAGGAGGAACAGTAATTCTGAAGATAATTTCTGGATCTGCTTTATTAGTGAAACCAGGCACTTTTGAGAGTGAGAGAAGCCACATCAGTAGCTTCACTGGAATACCTAGAGGAATAAAGGACTGCCCAGAGGACTAAAATATACAGATGTCTCATTTATCAATAAATATTAATCTGACATTGTTTTCCTTTTCTGCAAATACTGATTGTCATGACAATGACAATGACAGATAACTAGATCATTTCATTAAGCCATGACAAGTAGAGAAAACTTGTGTATTAAGCTCAGTGTTTCAACAGAGAAACTAAATGAGAGTTCTGCTAGGAGCAGTTTGGCAAGCTTCAGAATAGAAGTGGCAATGAAAGTGGGATTTCTAGGAATGTAGTAATAATATCTTTAAGAAAGAACTTCACTCCCCGGGATAAGTATAGGAGTATTGTGCTTTAAAAGAAACGTTTGAAGACTGTAAAAAACTGAACTTCTGGGGACATTCAAGCCATGAGAGCAGTGGGGAATGAGGTTTGGGGAGAGTGTGACTTTCCCCTGGGCCTTCAGTCACTGACTGGTAGGAGACCTCATCTTCCTCACTCATGAAGGAGTCTTGCTGCTCATGAACCCAGACTATTATGGAGGGAAGGTTTACTGATCCTTGCATTCTGCCCCTGTGATGATGGTTTCTGGGTACTAGGAACTCTCTTCTTTCCCTGTGATCATCTTTGCTGGGCCTGCCCTGCTCTAAATCAGATTTCTGAGGGATTTTACTTATTTTTTCCACTTTATTTTTTCTTTGGTAGGTTCATTGGCTGCTGTCTCATGCTTATTGAACCCCACAGAATGTTCTATGGCACTTTTTTTTCCAATTTGCCAAGTAGTTTTATGTCTTCTTTACTTCAAGTTTCCTGCATAAGTGTTCGAATGTACAGCTAATTCCTCTCACCTTGGAAAATATTAAATGGAGCAGGAAGCACGGTATTTAAATGAGTGTTTTCCTTTTCTGCATTTAATACAATTTGTTGGGTATACTTCACAAAGGAACCAACTCCCTAAAGGTCTAGATGATTGCTGGACATGAGGCTCGCAGATAAAAATCACCCAGGACCACGCACCTGCATTTCTTTACACACCCAGAATTCTCTTTTGGGGTTGTTATTGTTTATTTTATTGCAATAAGAAATGTATAATATTAAATTTACCATGTTAACCTTTTTTTTTTCTTCTCAATCCTGGATTTTGAAGCCATAGCCTTGTACACACTAAGCAAGTCCTCTAGCACTGAGTTACATCTCTGCCTCCCCTTTTTAAGACAGGGTCTCACCAAGATACCCAGACTGTCCATGAACTGATGATATTCATGCCCCAGGCTCCTTATAGTATTCATTTTAATCGAAGATTCTTTTAATGATATGATATAGTTAAGAGGTGTCTGAATTCATAGAACTTTTCTGATGACATAGATTGAGAAGATGAGATTGGTATTTTGAGTATCTCAGGCATATTCAGATCTTTCCAACAGGGGACTATTGTATTATGTAGGAGGAATGATACAAAAATCGCTTAATGGACTAAGCACCTCATGGATAAACATCTTTCAAATGGGCTAATGGTGGGGTCTGCATGATTTCTTTCCCTTCACTCCTAACAGCACCCCTATAATGAATAGCTCTGTGTTGTTTCCTTTATTTCACTTAGCCAAGAGCAGGAAACTGTGACAGAAAGCCCCAATCCAGAAGAGAAGCAGAGACTCTTGGGATCAAAAAGCTTCTAATGACAGTGGCAGCTTAGCATATTTCTGTACTTAAACCTCAGGAAATCAAGGTCCCTGAGAAATCCCTAAGTGGTTGCACCATTAAGAGCTAATTGTATGGGGGCTGGGGATTTAGCTTAGCAGCATAAGCACCTGCCTTGCAAGCAGGCGGTCGTGAGTTCTATCCCCAGTACTGATAAAAATGAAAAAGACAAAAAAAAAAAAAAAAGAGCCAATTGTATAAAACATGATGACTGAGGTAGCACTGCCTTATTTATCATCTGAGCCCTTGTTCTCCCTCCCCAGGCCTGGGCTCCAAGCCCTTCATTGAAATGAAAGGCTACGAGGATGGGGGCCTCTGGCTGGAGTGCACATCTGCAGGGTGGTATCCAGAGCCCCATGCCGTGTGGAGAGACCCCTATGGTGAGGTCACTCCCTCCTTGGAGGAAGCCTACACTGTGGACAGAGATGGCCTCTTCACAGTCACCATGGTTGTGATTATCAGAGATTCCTCAGTGAGAAACATGACCTGTTCCATCAGTAACACTCTGCTTGGCCAGGAGGTGGAAACTGTGATTTTCATACCAGGTTTGTTTTGTGCCCTCTGGGGACTCTGTGTGTGAAGGCAGGACCCTCAGCAAACAGAGGGGAGCCTGACAAAGTGGCAGAGGATGGAAATTGGGTAGAAAAAGCCTGGGCCCTAAAGAACTGGACACAGTTGAGCTGAGGCCTGTTCCCTTGTCACAAGGAGAAAATGAAGTACTCTCAAAATACATGAGTAAGCCTTTTCTCTGAGGGAAATCTGACCCTCTTCTCCTTAATAAGATCTGATACTAGCCAGATGTGGTGGGATACTCCTATAATCTCCATTGGAAGGCTGAGGCAGGAAGATCATTCAAGTTTGAGATCAGCCTGGGCTACAAATTAAGACCAAGGCCAGTCTGAACCACATAATGAGATCCTATCTCACAAACTCAAAAAAAAAATCATGATACTGCCTCAAACAACATTAAGAATAATTCTGAGTCTCTACTCCTGTTCATGCTGTCTCCTGAAAGCCTCTCTTCTTGCTAGGGGAATTTCTCAACGATCTACTTATACTCGTAAATTCACTCACCAAATATGCAACAAGCATTACTTGTGTTCAAAATACTACTCTAGAGAGCTGTGGATTTAGCTCAGCGGCATAAGCACCTGCCTTGCAAGCAGGCAGTTGTGAGTTCAATGCGTGGTACCAATTTAAAAATAAAAAATACTACTCTAGAAACTGAGGGTTAATCATTGGCCACAACATATGGAGATCCACGCTCTCACAGCAGTCACATTCTAGACAGATGGAGAGCAATGTGTGCAATGAGTAATTAAAGCAAGTGATTAAATAATTAAACTGTATGTTATATCAGACTATGATAAATAGTGTAGTAAAAACTAAACAAGGGAAAAGGGGATTGAAACAACTCACTTCCTTGTGATGTTTCAATTAATGGCAGGTTGGCCGAGGGAGAGTTTGCTGTAAGGTTGGGAATGAGGCATTAGATACTTGGGAGATTGAGTGACCCAGGTCACCAAAGCCCTGTGCTCAAAGGGTGAGGGGAGAGTGTGTCAAGGAATTGCAAGAACCTCCAGAGGGAGTGCTGTATGGGTGGAATGGAGTGAGTGAAGGGAGCAAGAGGAGAGGCTTCAGAGCAGTGAGGCCGTGTCAGAGTGGCACTATGTGCCAGACACGGACCTTGGCTTTTAGTGTGAATAAGGTGGCAAGTGTTTGAGCAGGTTTAGTGAAACATTCACAAGCAGCAAGGCCGTCCCATGGAGCACTGACTGCAGGGCTAGAACAGCATGAGAAAGGAAATGGGATATTCTAGACCAAGAGGCACGGTGGCTCACACCAGGGTGGTGGTTGTAGTGATTCGGTATGACAGGTGAGGGTCACTGACAGTTCCCACAGTGACTCTAGTGTGTATATACATCTGTCTCCTGGGGTCTTCTAGTCTGAGCCCATCTCTCTCTGTCCAGTGTGGAGCTTCTGGGGGAGAAATCACACAGGGGGACCTGATGGTGCTTCAAACCCTGGCATCCTGTTTATCACTAAAAGGGAATTTTCTGGTCTCCTTTTCAGAGTCCTTCACACCAAGCCTGTCTCCATGGACAGTGGCTCTGGCCGTCAGCCTAGTTATTCTGATGCTTCTCGTGTCTGGGATCATCGGTCTCATCAAAAAACTCCACAGGGGGAAAAAGTGTGTGTCAGCAGAAAATGATAGTGAATATAAAGAAAGAGAAATTGCACGTAAGAAACGAGGGCAATTGCGTGGAAAAAGGGAAAGAAGAGAAAATAAGAGGTAGAAGAGTAGGAGTACAGTTTGCAGTAGTGGAGAGAGCTCCATTCTGGCAGGAGGCAGCATGGAGAAGGCAGGAACTTCCCAGAGGAAACAGCAGAGAGATTGGAGCTCACAACCTCGCAGATAACCCCGCTGAGCTGTCCTTCCTCAGCTCATACCCCAAGCATCTGTATGAAGGGTAAAGATAATGATGTTAGACAAAAGTCCAACCCTTTTATGATAAATATGAATCCAATTCTCTTCCTTCTGCTAAGGGCTTTACTTTGTTTCTTTTTCAGAGCAACTTCAAGAAGAATTGCGTAAGTTTAGCCTTTCCTGCACTATTCCATGTACAATTCGTGTTCCCCTTGAGTAGCCCTTGTCTCATGGCATTTACCTCCCTGTCACTTGCAGGATGGAGGAGAACCCTCGTACATGCTGGTGAGTGTCTCCTACATTCCTTCAGATCCTGAGCTTTCTCTCTACTAGCCCATCTAGAGGAGATGAACAGGAGGCCAGAGCTGGGGTGGGGGCAGCAGGGGACTGAGTCATTCTCCACATGGAATCTGCAGAGCTTTTTATTTTTTGTTTAATTTTTTTTACCAGGAATCAAACTCATGACCTCACACTGGCCAGGCAAGCATTTGTGCAGCTGCTAAATCCCCGGCCCCATTTTCTTTTTTTTTGTTTCTTTTTTTTTTTTTTTTTTTTTTTTCTTTTTGAAACAGAGTCTCACTATGCAGTTCAGGATGGCCTGGAGCTCACTTTGTAGCCTAGGCTGGTCTCAAACTTGCAATGATCCTCCTGCCTCAGCCTCCCGAGTGCTAGGATTACAGGCATGAGGCACCATGCCCGACTGAACTGCCTGTTTCTAAGGACCACTTTGCATTTTATAATTTGTCATCATCTGCCTAAAGCAGCAAAAAATACATTTCACCAGGTACCATGCCACATGGACTTTTCTTTAGAAAAATTTCAATATTGTTACAAGTAACCTGGGACACCATGCCAAGCTGTCACAATTAGACATATCACCCTGGGAGAAAGGAGGAAATTGTTTTAACAGTGTAAGAGAAGTGGTAGACTGAGGCAGGAGGACCACCACAAATTCAAGGCCAGCCTAGGCTACATAATGAGTTCAAGGCTAGACTGAATATACAAAGCAAGATCCTGTTTCAGACAAACAATGCACGCGCGCACACACAAAACAAACAAAATGAGCAAGCTATATTAAGTGCAGATGAGATAGAGGGGCCTGAAGCATTTCCTATTCACAGACAAGACATCCCTGCAAGCTTTGGCCCATGTTATTGAAGTAAAACTGGGTGCCAGGGATATAGCTCAGTGGCAAAAGCACCTGCCTGGCAAGCACAAGGTCCTAAGTTTGATTCCCAGTACCAAAAAAAAAAAAAAAAAAGTAAAACTGGATGGAAATATTTCCCCCTACATTTGTGATACATACCTCATAGATAGCAGATTGGCTTTTGGAGACATCTGTCTTCTTTATTTACTCTTTGCCAGTCATTTAACTGAGTTGTCACCTGGCTACCAGAATCCAGTGAACAGACCCGGTGCTATCCAGAACATCATGTAATTCACTTTAATTCCTTAACCGATTCATGCTTGCAGGAAGCAAAAGCCTCTTTGCTGGTATAAGGTAGTTGGATCGTTTCTAACCAGCCAAAAACCTAAAGATCATGTACTATACCATGTATAGATAAGGAGGGCGAGAATGCTGAGAAAGTCGGAACCTTTAGCATTGGTTCATTCGCTAAACTTTCTTGGTTCCTGAGAGCCATGATTTTCAATTACCACAGAAAGACAGAAGTGCAGCCTCAACAATGCCCAGTCTATGAACTGCATGGGATCAAAGAGTCTTCATGGAAAAACCACCACATGGTGAATTCCCTTGTGCTTTCTGGGGGCCAGGTATCATACCAGTCAGTACACTAAACCTGAGACTTTTTCTGCAGCTGATGTGGTTCTGGACCCAGACACAGCTCATCCAGAGCTCTTCCTGTCAGAGGATGGGAGAAGTGTGCGCCGGGGCCCGTCCCGACAGAGCCTACCTGACAATCCAGAGAGATTTGACTGCCGGCCCTGTGTCCTCGGCCGGGAGAGCTTCTCCTCAGGGAGACACTACTGGGAGGTGGAGGTGGAGAATGTGATGGTGTGGGCCATTGGGGTTTGTAGAGACAGTGTTGAGAGGAAGGGGGAGGCCCTGCTGCTTCCCGAGAATGGCTTCTGGACCCTGGAAATGTTTGGGAACCAGTATCGGGCCCTGTCCTCCCCCGAGAAAATTCTTCCCGTGAAAGAGCACCTTTGCCGTGTGGCTGTTTTCTTGGACTACGAAGCTGGAGATGTTTCCTTCTACAACATGAGAGACAGGTCACATATCTACACATGTCCCCTCTCGACCTTCTCTGGGCCTCTGAGACCGTTTTTCAGACTGGGTTCTGATGACAGCCCCCTCTTCATCTGCCCAGTGTTCACAGGGGCTCAGGGAGTCGTGGTACCTGAGGGTGGCCTGATCCTACACAGGCCCAGGATCTGCCACTGCCTGCAGGACCAGTTCTCTGGTCTCAGGGCCATGTAGCGAAGCCATGGCCTTCTCCACTACCATGGCACTGCACCATCTGATATGAATGGGCCCTTTTCCCTCTGGCCACAGCAGCCTCACACCCAGCTCAGGTCTAGACCCAATTCTCTTATCTCTTAAGGCTTTAGTGGCTATGGCACTTGGAAGGGTGGGGCAGGCCATGTCTTCTTAGGGAACTGCTGATGTCACACAGCTCTCAACTGGGAAGGATGTGGAGAGAGCAATGGACAGAAGTAGAAGTACTGATGATTCAATACCTGAGTGATAAGGCTGAACCAACTACTAGACTGTGAACGTGGGCAAGGGCAGTGGGAAGCAGCAGGAATATGAGAGGAAGGAGAACTGCAGAACCTTCAATGTGGAAGCCAGTGATGACAATGACACATAGAAGAAGTGTACCAGAGAATGGGAACGCCAGAGGTTGCAGTTAAGCCCCACTATGGCAGCTGCTATGGGGTCTCTGGAGTTGATCACCCATTTATACCCAACCCCCAAGATTTCCATATCACACAACTATGGGCCCAGACCTAGGATGTAAAAGAATGAAGAATAATGCATTTGGATTCGGCCTGGCTTGGGCATCCTTGCAACAAACAGGAAGTATCTCTCCACCACTGAGAGTGGCTTGAGTTTAGGTCTCGGCTGAGCAGGTAAGTATGAAACCCAGTCTACCCCAGGGCTCAGATTTAGTCAGACTGCAGCACTGTCAATCTTCTTAGTCTCAAGATGGCTTTATTGAGGACCTGAAATAGCTTTTCTTTTTTGGGGTTAACATCCGTTACTATTTATGGCATTTGAGAAAATTTTAAATGCATTTGTATCAAAACAGGAATGAGCCAAACTATAAGTTTATATAAACAGCATGTTTCAGGAAAAGTAACTTGTTTTGAAAGCAATAATCATTTCATTAGAAAATGTGGAGTTTTCACATTTTCACACCTCTAATACCTGGCTAGATTCCCATAGTTGCCTTTGCATTTAATCTGTTGCAATATCGAAGAACAAAAAAGATCTACGAAGCCAGGTTTGGTGACACATGCCTGTAATACTAGCACTTGGGAGACTGAGGTAAGAGGATTGCTGTGAGTTCAAGGTTAGCCTAGGCTTCCTAGTGAGTTCAAAGGCCAGCCTGTGCTACATAGGCAGACCATGTCTCAAAAAAAAGGACCTAGGAATCTATAGTATACAGGAGTGAAAGAATGAAAATAAGAACAACAGATACTATACTATTATGAAAAGTATTAAAATTTCAGACCCTTGAAACTATCAGAGGCTCCCATAAGTCCTCAATCCATATTTTAAGAACCATGGTAGATGATCCTGAAATTACATAATGTATCTAAAATGCTGGCTTAAATGACAGTGATTTCAATTTATGCTAATTCAATAATCTGACGATAAAACTGAGTTGAAAAAAGTGTTTTTAAGTCTAGATCTTTATTACTGAAGCTGCAAATGGACACACAACAGAAAGTACCAAAAACATATTGAAACAGCTGATTCATTAAGATGGAAGACTGAGTTGTATATGAGCATGATTTAGTCCCATGAAGCTACTACAACAAATATATCATAGTGACTTTTAAATAACAGACATTTGTATCTCACAGTTGTGGAAGCTGGAAAGTCCAAGGTCAAGGTACCATTAGACTAGGTGCCTGGTGCTTACTTTCTGGTCCATAGTCTTTGCTGGGTCCTCACATGGAAAGGGTAAAGGAGCTCTCTTAAGATTCCTTTTGTAAAGGTACCTCCCATTCAAGTGGGATCCATCCTCATGACTTGATCACCTCTCAGAGATGTTACCTCCCATTATATCCACATGGGAGATTAATTACAACACATGAATTTGGTAGGATACAGACTGTCAGTTCATTGCAGTGTATGGTACTGCTGTTATAATTTATTTGGAAATTTTTGCTAAAAGCATTAGACTGTAAGGACTCAAATATTACTAATCATCGGTTATATTAAGCAATTTATAGACCTTCAGTGCTCTATAATTTGTTTTTTAATGGTGCCAGTGTTCAAACCCAGAGCACAGTGCATGCTAGCCAAATGTTCTAACACTGAGCTGTTCCTTAGACCTAAAATAAAGGGATTTGTGGGGGGAGGAGTGGTAATCGGGTAACAAACTCAGGACCTCACATTTGCCAGGCAGGTACTGTACCACTGAGCTAAATCCCTGGCCCCCTAAAATAAAGTTTTAAGAGAGTTTATATGACTTATTATAGTTTACAGAATAGTTTCTATACAGTATGCTGTGTCACTGGGTTCTCAAAGAAAATATATTTATCTCCATTTAACAGTAATATACTGAGGTCTAGCAAGTTAAAATGATACTTTTTGTTCAAGGAAAGTAGTATTCTTGCTCAGTAAATCAGACCTCATCTTTAAGATGCCTTCCAAGCGTTGAAACTAGACATGAACACAATGCTAGACACTGTTTAATCATTCAGATAGCAAAACGTGTCATGCTGTCTTCTACTCCCATCTTAACTTTCCCATCAAGTTCCACACATGTAATGTGCCCAGTGTGCAAAAGCACCAGTGTAACCACCAAGTAGATTCCTTATCTCATTGGAGTTAACTTGTAATTAGGATTAAACAAAAGAGGAAGAACATAAACCAAGTTGTGCCTGATGCCATGAGTGAAGTAAATGGAACAGTGTTATGGAGAACTGTGGCATGGGACTACTTCCAGGGCAGTCTAGAGAGGGCCTCCTGGAGAAAGTGACAGCTTTGCTGAGGCTTAAAACAGAACCATCTTGTGGGTGAGGGGGGGGGGGTAACTGAACAGTGGGATCAGCAAGCACAAAGCAAGATGAAATGACCACTGATGGAACCTGAAGAGGTTCATGTGCTCAAAACAAAGATGAAAAATGGGACAGGCAGAAGACTTCGCAAAAGCAGGCCATGTACTCTCAGCACCCCAGGTAGAGTACAGTTCAGCCTTATCAGCATATCCTTTTCCCACATCTCAGATGGCAACACAGAGAAAAAATAGAAGGAAGAGGTCCTGTACTTCCGGCCCCACCTGCTGCACCCACTCCTCATTGGTTTCTTTTGATTTCACTGTGTGACACAAGTGAAATCACATTGCCCACATCTTGGAACCCCCCCTACTCACCTATTCAGTTCACCCACTCATTCAGCATGACACTTGAGCATGATGTAATTGTCAGTGTTGCAGAAGCTAAGGGCACACTCTTTTTTATCTCAATCTCCTTTTTATTATCTACTTTTTCATTTTTATCCTTTTAATTAAGGGAAAAATAAATAAAAATAACAGGATATATTATAGTAACCCACTTTGATTTCCTATTAACTTGATTTGAAACTCTGTATTGCTCTCACCATCTTGTTTTGACTGATTTTCCTCTATTCTGTTATGCTTGATAGTACCAAGTTTGAAAGTATAGGCAACAACTATGAAGACAATAAGATTCATTGTGACGCCCATTCTGGTTAACTATTATCTTTTGAAGTCCTCTAATGTCTCCAATGTTTTGGTTTTATTGGTCTTATTCTTTACTGTTTTGTTCAATTTTATTATAACTGATGATATAGGCAATTCTTTTTTAAGATAACAAGAGGCATTATGGTAACCATTGTTGATCACCTTGTATTTTGTTTTTACATTATGTATTATGTCCATCCTTTTGATTTGACTGACTCTGTCCTGGTATGTCACATTTGGTTTTACTTTCTTCAAAAACAAAAAAAAGTAATAAGAACTGTGGGAGCAATAAAACCCAAAATGTGTAATTGTCATTGTACAAAAGAAAGGAAAAGAAAGTTCTCCAAAAGATATAACTGCATATATATTTAAGTGTATAAGATAGATAACCATATTACTGAGTTTTGTTGGATCATTGAACACAACTGTTTGCAGTCTCACTGTTTGAAAGTCCCCTCTATATGCTTTAATTTTGTAACTTCAACAACTATTTCTAAGATGACAATATGTAATTAACTAGTGATTTCCTACTGTTTATTTTTTCTGAAATTCTGTATAACTTGTACCCTTCTTCTGTTTTTTTTTTCTTTTTTCTCCTTAAATAAAATTTTAAAAAAAAAGAAGCTAAGGGCACAGAAGAGTTAACAAAACAGAAAGTTCCCATTCAGAAAGACCTACCCTGTGGTAGGAGACAGAATAAAAATGTTAAATGTATGATGTGTGTGTGTTGAATGGTGGTAAGTGCTCAGGAGATAGATACAAAATAATGAGGAATGTTAGAAGTTGCAATTTAAAACAGAGAATGAAGTAGATGATGTGGCTTATATCTACATGTCCCCTAATCAAAGCCTCATAAAGTTTATAGGTGGGGCTTTGGGCAGTGACTAACTAGATCATGGGTGTGTGTTAACTGTGTAACTCCCCTAATTGGATTTGCACAGACCTGGATATGGTTCAGTAGATTTACTGAAGACTGATTATCATTTGGCACTCAATTTGAGGCAGATCAGAGAGAATAAGTGAAGGAGTGAAAGAGTAGAAAAGCCTTTAATGCAGGCACAGGAGAGCTGCAAAGCAGTGCAGGAACTCTCAGCAAGAACAAAGAAGTAAAGCTACTTTATTAGGTCTGGCTGGGGGAGGAGTTTGGGAGGTGAGCAAAATGACATATTAACAGCTGATGTGAAAGAGCATCTGCCGAGGCTGGAGGTGAAGCGCTGGTAATGGTTACAAAGTCTTGGGCTTGGAAAGAGCTCTGTACATGTGCAAAAGGGGAGCAAAGGAACCTAGACATTTATTTCTGGAATGAGAATATCAAAGTTATTCTTGGAGAGATAAGTTGTTTCTCTGGGTCCATACCAAATTGGGTGGATGTCATGTTACAGATAGCCAATCCCCAGATTAGCAGACTATCAAAGACAACCAGCCATCTCTACCAAGAATTTACATTCAAACTCTTGTAATACAATCAAATTCCATTAGCCTTGGTTACAGATAAGTCTTAGAAGGTTTAATTATAATAGGAATCTATTTTATGACCCCATATGACTTAAAGGGCAGGCTTATTTTTCGTTTGTAACCCAAAATGTTGTAACTCCTAAGACCCAATGTTTGTCCCTAGGACCCCTTACAAAGACACCATTCAGTCTACCCAAAGTTTAAAATCAGAGCCAACTATACCTAATCCCAGTACTTGGGAGGCTGAGGCAGGAGGATCACCATGAGTTTAAGGTCAGCCTGGACTGACTACACAAGTGTGTTCAAGGCCATTCTGTACTACACAGCTAGACCTTGTTACAAACAAACAAATGAAAAATTACACAAAGCATACTCTACTAATGGAGTGAGAAAAAAACAAGTACACAGCACACGTGGCACATGTCTTTAACCTCAGCACTTGGGACACTGAAGTGGGAAGATCACTCTGAGTGCAAGGACAACCTGAACTACATAGGGAGGCTCTGTCTCAAATAAATAAATAAACAGTAATATAGCAGGGTGTGATAGTGCACATCGGTAATCTCAGCACTCTAGGAGACTGAGACAAAAGGATTGTAAATTCAAGCCCAGCCTGGACAATTTAGAGATTTAGTGAGACCTTGACTCAAAATAAAAAAGGGTTAGAAATGCTAGGATTATTTCCAGATAAGATGAAAAATATTTCCAAAAGATGAAAAGTATAAAATAAAAAGCAGCCTTTATTCTGAGAACACGGAGAGAGATGACCAGCACCCCCACCGCTGGCGTCAGAGGATCTCTCCCGGACACCTGGCCTGGGGGCATGTAAGTAGCCTCTGTTTGGGGTAAAGCCTAAGGTGGGCATTAGGGCTGTACTGGTAGCCCATTGGTCCTAGGTTTGGCGCCATATGTAAATTTCCAGGGGCGGGAAGATGGTGTCACAGGTAACTTCCTAGGGACTGGGGAGATTGGGGCTTCCTGCTTCCGGTTGAGGCTTTCCTGGCTACAGTGTCCTGTCTGGGCCAAAACCCTTTCAAGAAATATAGCTCATTGCCAAGGGTCTGCATTCAATCCCCAATACCAGAAAAATAAAGTACCATGTAGTAAAAAGCAGGGCTGCTAAATGAATGAGCTCATAACACCCAAAATAATTTTATGAAAAATATATAACATACCAAAAAGCCAATAGAAACACTGCCTTTGGAACCCTGAAAATTACATAAGTTAGTCACAAATCTGAGACTTGAATTTTGTGGATACTGAAATTGGTCTGTCTGTACTCCTTTAATATTTTCATTGGCTGCATAGCAAAAAGGGATAACCTCTTCCTACGCCTATTTACTTAAAAGCAGATGCTAGCAAATTGCTACCGTATAATTTTAATTAAAATGATACACATAAGTCTTCTTGACCCATTAAAAACTTTTTTCTACCCAGTTCAATGGATGTTTCTATTATAAAATATGAAACAGTTGAGTTTCTAGGAATACTGATTATCTACATATATTAATAATTCAAATTTGTAAACAAACGCACACTGGGAGGCAGGGCTGGAATTTTTCTTCAGTGTGTATAATTCAATGCGGGTTCAGTTTTCACTGAAGTTTCCCCAGGATTTTATTGCCTAGCAACTGATAAGAAACATCATCATTTTTGAGGCAATCAGAAAATTAATTTATCCAAAGAAAATTCTCTCAGTTTCTCAAAGTAAGCATATGACACGTGCTCCTAAGTAAATTTGGCCTGAGGAAGCCTCCGTAGTTGATTGCTCACATAAGGAGCTGCGTGCAACATTAGTTTGGGCAGAGCTCAGCGAATCACAGTGGCCGAGTTCCAGCCAATCACAGGCATCCGCAGAACCCGGGACGGAAGGAACATGCAGTTTCAGACTTAACTTTCGGCGGGCTCCCGGGTTCCCAGTGCTTCTTTGCTTAAGCTGCTAAGGGTAACATATTAACATATTTCACCGATGAGGAAATGTCGCTTGCTTCCGTTCTGTGCGTCGTGGACAGATGGCGTCCCAAAGCGTACGTGAAGGGCATAGGCACAAAGCAGGGCTGTGGATCTGAAAGACAGGGCTGGGAGCTGAGCGGCGGGCTTAGGGTGACTGGCTGAGATGCAAGGGAAAAGGCACATCCTGGTGGGATCTGGAGGGATGAGGGCTGCATGACTGGTGAAGCTTTGCAGGCTGCGTGTGCTTAGGGGACTGCGATCTGAAAAAAGCAAAAAAACAAAGACTGAGAATGTCTTCTGGTCACCTTTCAGTTATATTCAAACAGATTTCAAAAGTAGATGTGCCTTAGACTGGGGGTGGGGCCACAGGTCTGTAGTCCCCGTACTCTGGGAGGTTCAAGCAGGAGGATCTCTTTTTAAGTCAAGCCCAGTCTGTGCAGCTTCGTCAGACTCCATCAAAAAAATAGAAGCCAAGGGAAACTGGGGGCGTAGTTTAGTGTGAAAGCCCTGGGTTCAGTCCCCAGTAATGAGGAAATGATGCCTTAAAGATTTGTATGTATGTTGTTTTTTAAACTCTGTATTTTCCAGGTGCTTTAGTTCCCCATATTGTGTGGAGCCCCTCACCCAGGCAACTTTACGTGGCCCAGTGTGATAAATCTTGTCCCTGCCAGAAGTTCCACTTCTGACCTAGTGACTGCCCATCTTTTTATCTTTTTCTGGTTCATTTGTTTTGTCACTGCCTCTTCCACTCACACCCTAAGAATCTCTTGACAGCAAATGCTATTTTGTTTGTTTGTTTTGAGACTGGGTCTACATAGTGCAGGTTAACCTTGAATTCACTGTGCAACCAAAGCGGTCCTCAAATTCGGGTGATCCTCTTATCTCAGCCTCCTAAGGATTATATATAAGCTAGGATTATATATAGGCTTGGATGAATTATAACTGGAGAGCAACTGTCTTTTTAGTGTATGAATTCCCCAAGAACATACACGTTTATGCAAAGACCTACAGGTTACTAACCTTCACATCTTTCCTGCAACACTGCTGCCCTTTTCGGGGACATTTTTTGTTTTGTGACTGTTCAAATTAATGAAATAAGATTGAAAAATATACAGAAAAATGAGAAAAAAATATTTCTGTTGCACACTGAAAGGCATTTAACACCGAAGTGGGAAAAGAATAAGGGATGACTTTGTAGAGTGTATAAAGTAGGATCTAGTGCTTGTCTGCACTGGATTGAAAATGGAGGTCTATTTTTCCAGCCATTTCCTAAGCCAAATTTCCTGACTGATAAACTGCTGAAAGTATATGACAAATTATTGTACTTGGAGACTTTTTAGTGTCATCCCAAAGTGTACTCATTTATATGCAACATATATATAAAATGCTTCCATTTTCATGTGTTTCTTTTATGGTTTTCTGGTCCAATTTCTTGTTTCATACAAACTTATGGAAAAGAGTAGACAGATGCTGACTAAAAATCCTCGCTGAAAAGGAGGCATTAAAGATGGGCTTTAGATGCAGATCACTAGAGCCCTCCCAGTTGAAAGAACTACTGGAGACCTGTAGAAAAAAAAAGGGACTCCTGAGCATTGACCTTACATGTCTCCTGACCATTCATGTCTAGACTGAAGCTCCTAGAGGATACGTGTCAGTATCCTGCTCTGGAAAAGATGCGGATGGCTGTTTTCCCAAACTCCGTCCTTGGGTATCTGCTCACCCTTATGCTTCTGCAGCTGCCCACACTGGATGCAGGTAGGTCTCCCTCCTTCCCCAGCTTGTTCTCTCCTCCAGCCCACCGGGTTGAAATGCATCTGCAAATATAAGCCATCACAGAGGCTCTTCCCAGGTGGGATGTAAGGATCCAGTGTGACCCAGGTGGATACTCCAAAGTGAGAAACATCATGAGCAAGTCTGCTTTCAACTGGGCCTAGTTCCTATCAGTCTGCAGATGCATCTCCTCACCCAAATCCTACTCTTTGTTTTGTTTTTTGGAGCAGCTCCCTTTGAAGTCCTTGTACCTCTGGAGCCTATCCTAGCTTCAGTGGGTAAAGACTGAGCTGCCATGTTATCTTTCACCAAATGTGAGTGCTGAGCACATGGAACTCCAGTAGTTCCGGAGCACATTCTCACAGGCTGTGTTGGTGCACAGGATGGGCAAGAGCAGGAGGGAGAGCAGATGCCTGAGTACCAGGGGAGGGTTACTCTAGTCACAGACAACATCACTGCAGGACATGCAGCGCTGAGGATACATGACATCAGGGCTTTTGATGAAGGGGTGTATGGGTGCCTTCCTGCAGCTGAGA